GATAGGAAACAGGGAGATAGGAAGAAAATCTGGGGGGAAGATAAATGGGGGGAGAGAGTTGGGAGGGAAGTAAAAATGGTTAACATGTGATACCTATGTGTGCCAGTTCCTCAAGATGAATGCAATTATTATATATATGAATAAAAAAGAAAAATAAAACCCAGCAAACTCAGGAACTGTGTAAGTGAGCAGAATGTGCCCTGTGAATGCAGGCAGAGGTCAGGGGCTATGGATGGGGAATTTGGGCTAAAGGCCTTATTCATCACCTAGGGGAGAGATGCACGAAGAGCAATAGAAAAGCTCATGACAGTTCATTTACTTATGCCTGAGACATCTTTATACAGTGGTCCCTGCTATAGTATTTATAGTGTATCTCAGCTGCAGCAAGACAGGTCTCAATTTCTCTTTCTGCAGGGGGATACAAACTTACTGTCTTTTTCAGGGAGGACTGTTTTTTTCCTGACTGATCTGATATTTTATGCATAGAATAAAAATAATAGTAGTATTGCTAGTTTGTAAGACTAGTACAAAATGTGACTTCTCAAAGAGGTTGGGCAGTAGAGTTGAGAGAAGGGAGAGAAACGTTAGGAAAGTGGTTGAAAATATTTTATGAAGAATTATGTGAGTGTGTGTGTGTAATAAAATTCAAATCTTGGGTGTAATACTTCACTTAGCTTCTTTTCCTGATGTTATAGGAGCTTGTGCTTATATAACTAAGAATAGAAAACCGTCAGTCTGGAATGTCTGGCTTTTACAATTGACATCTGAGCTGTTTAAATGTTTGTGCACTAGTTATAAATCATAGATCTTTGCTGGATATTCTTAGGAACTCAAACATGCAAACACTTGTTGAAAGTCACTGGTTAATATTCTAGAACGGAAGGAATCACAGACACCCTAAACTATTGTGCTACCCACCCATGATGCAATGCATTTATATGTTAGTGGAGTGGAAATCACACTTTGGATTTGTGACATTTACCTATGTGTAAGTTCCTCCTGTAAAGAAAAGTCTATCCTGGTGTAGTAGCACTTGCCTGTAATACCAGGATTCTGGGAAGCTGAGACTGGAAGACCATGCATTTGTCGTATCTGGCAACTTAGCAAAACCTTGTATAAAAGAGAGAAAGAAAGAAAGGAAGAAAGAGAGAGAGAGAGAGAGAGAGAGAGAGAGAGAGAGAGAGAGAGAGAAAGGAAACAAGCCAGCCACATGAAGAATAGTTGGGAATGAAGCTCAATGTGAAGGTCCTCGCTTGATCCCCAGTAGTGAGAAGTCAGTTGCCTTTCGAACTTTCCCCAACCCCAGGGGTACTCTACCACTTAGCTACACCCTCAAGCCCTTTTTATATTTTATGTTGAGATAGCATCTTGCAGAGTTGCACAGGCTGGCCTTGAACTTGTGATACTCCTACCTCCCGAACTGAATAGCTGGGATTACAGACATGCACCACCACATCCACTACCTCTCATCCTTGACTCTTTAAAATGACAGGGTCTTTGCCTGTTGGTGGCTGGATTAAATTGACTGTGGTTCTATCATGTGCAGTGTACTGGCCGAGTATGTTCTCCAGGATGCTCAGCTTTGTGGCACCCTCAGCTTTGCATCTGCAGGGAGCTCCCATGTTTGCACAGCCCCTCTCTACTCTCTACCCCAAGGCCCAGATGTGGGGCCTCACAGTCTCCACCGGGCACCAGGAATATAACACAGTGGTAGAACAGCTGTCCACTGCAAGCGTGAGAGAGCAAGGGGAGTTACACCATGATAGCATGATAAATCATTTAAAGCTGATCGTTAAATATCGCTATTCTCCAAAGTCCTTCTCGTTACTCCTGGTTGTTCCTTACTGCCAATTCTTGTTCCAGCTTCTTTCAGGTATCTCCTCCTTTCTCTCCTCTGTGATGTGGGACCCATCTCTTCATACCCAAAAGGTCCATAAAGTTGCTTTGTTCTCCAAACACAGTTTCCTTTCTAAAGAACTTCACCTTCAGCTTTTCAAATCATATTTCTGTCCTTGGAACTCATTATCAAGATTAATAACATTTTTAAACTAAATTTGTTCCTTGCTCTCACTCTTGCTGTGAAATGATAGGCCATCTAATTGAAGGATTTTCTTGACTGAAGTTTAAAATTTTAAGAATACTAATATACTCTGTTTATGCCTCATATCTCATTCTGATGGCCAATCAGTTTTTTTTATATAAAAAGGCATTGCTTACAGTTTTAGTTACTTTTCTTGTTGTGAGACAAAATACTCAATACCCAAAGTTAAAGGAGGAAGGGTTTATTTAGCTCACAGTTTGTAGAGGTTTCAGTCCATAATTAGCTGGCTCCAAGGCAGGGTGGGATGGCAGGCAGCACTGCAGTGGAGAAACAGTTCACGGCTGGCAGAAGGTTACAAAGCAAGAAATAAGCAGCTTATATCTTTATCCAGTCTACTTAGGACAGGTAGCACTCACAGCCTTAATCGTAGCACCCAGGATCACAGCATTGCATTATGAACCGATCCCAGCATCACACACCCTAGATCCACCCACCTCTGAAAAAGCCCCACCTCTGACTGCGTGAGGCTTAGAGATGAAGGCATCTAGACACAAATTGTAACACTTATAAAAAGGCATGATAACAAGAGAGAGAAAAGTCTTCCCACAGTCGACCAACATGTATAAATGGAACTCAAAAACTCAAATGAAAGTTTATATGCTATAGAATATATTTGTATAGCTAAAGATAAAAGTGCTTGATCCAGTCATACACCATGGTACATGCTTAACTTTCTAGCTACTATACTACTAAGGAGGAGGAGGAAGAAGCCCTGCTTGAGGTTCCAGATCAGACAGCAATGTATCAAGATCTCGTCTCAAAAAAATTTTTAAAAAGACTCGATCCAAAATAATTTCCATTTATAATTCTGGTTACACATTGTATTTGATAGCTTTTGAGATGATAATGCTGCTTCACAAACCATCCCAAAACTCAGTGGTATTTATTGTCACACATGTGCGGGAGAAGCACGGGACAGAGCTTCACCGTGGAGCCAAGCCACAGCTAGAGCAAGCAAGCCTGGACTGCAAAGCCTGAGATAGCACACCGTTTGCCAGTCCTGAGTTCACATATTATGAGGGAATTGGGAGTTTTGGAATTTGGGTTATTTACACAGATCTAAAATGAATATTGTCCTTGAGTTTTCCATTGGGCAAGCTATTTATTACGGGAACCAATGATGTAAACAAATATCGCAGACAACTTGAACCTATTTAAGAAAAGTCTTTTAATGCTTTAAGTTACGAATGCTCATTTCCAAATTGGCAGTTATTATACTCATTATAAAATTTGGGTGGAATACAGATAGAACACTTGCCTAGCACATGGCAGGCCCTGGGTTCGAATGCTAGAACTGAAAAACAAAAAACAACAAAGAAACAAGTCTATTTAAGTACATCCTGAGAAACTTTTAAATAATGCTGTGTTTCCAGGCGTAGGGATGCACACCTGTAATTCTAGCACGCAGGAGACTGAGGCAGGAGGAGCACCCTGAGTTCAAGGTTAGCCTGAGCTGTACAACAAACAAACAAGCAAGCAATCAAAAGACCTGCTTTGTTCACTATTTAAAGAGACAACTCCATGTATAATAAATGTTTTTAAAAATATACTTGTCATCACCTGAAACCATTCCCTGCAGTAGGCCATCTCTGCTCTTCTCATACACTTAGCTGCATCTGGTTTAGTGTAGCTTTTCCATACTGAGTTGATAAATATTTGAAGATGCCAACCTCAGTCTTTTCTTAGAGTTTGGAGAGATCAAAACCTTTTCCCTTGCCAGATGTCACTGTTGGAGATAGTCTGACAACTTATGGAGAAGCACCAACTTCAGCTGGATGTGGTGGCATGCTCACCTCTAATCCCAGTGCTCTTGGGAGGCTGAGGGAGGGGAACTCTTAAGTTCAAACCCAGTTTGGACAATTTAGTGACTTAGTTAGACCCTGTCTCAAAAAGCAGAAAAATGGACTGGGGATGTGGTTTGATATGAATGCTCTGGATTCTATTCCCAGTACCACAAAAAATAAAAAAGAAAAGAAAGAAGGAAGAAGGAGAAAGACAGAGAAAGAAAAAAAAAGAGAAAATAAAAAGACAAATGAAAGCTGAATATGATGGCACACACCTGTAATCCCAACACTTGGCAGGCTGAGGCAGGAGAATCACCGTGAATCTGAAGCCAGCCTGGGCTGCATGGCGAGTTCAAGTCCAGCCTGAACTACATAGTGAGACCCTGTCTCAAAAAAAGAAAGAAAAATAAAGATATAGAGAGAAAGCATGTGATGAAAATGACAGTAGACCAGTTCATCCCTATAATCCCAGCAATTGGGGAGTCTAAGGGAGGAGGATTATATATTTGAAACCAGGCTGAGCAATTTAGCAAGATACTGTCTCAAATAAAACTTTAAAAAAGGTCTGGGGGCACTGACCTGACATGTGCAAGGCCTTGATTTCAACTCCTAGTACCACAAAAGAGAGAAAAGGGAGGAAGAAAGGAAGGAAGCAAGGAAGAGAGAGAAAAAACAAAGAAAAATGACAGTAAATCTTCAGATATTTCAGGCAGATGTGTGGAATTGAAAAAAGGGATATTTCTCCTGGGTATTGAATTATATACAGTTTTCCTTGTTCTGGAATTCAAGTCTTAAACACGACCTCAGTAACAGGCCTGGCTGGTGGAAGAGTTCATTGTAGTCCCTGGTCCACTGTGGACTGGAATTAAACTCTGTAAGGTTCAATACCTAAACCGTGAACTCCAAAATTGGAGGTTAGGTAAAAACAGAAGAGGTACTAATGGACCCAGCTTCTAAAAGGAAGCTGTTCAGTAACCGTCAGGTAGGTACGGGACCACGGGTCATCCTGAGTTTCCTTTATAAGTCACATGAGTGTAGAACCCGTAGAATGACAGTTGTATGACTGCCTATGTCAGCAGAATCCGCTTGGCTCAGTTGCCCTCCTTTCGTTCCAGGAGTTGGGTGGCAGAGTGTGCTACTGAAAGGAGAGGAAGCAGCTTCCGGTGCTGCAGAAGCCTCCGGCCCAGACATGACTATCAAGGTAAGGGATCTTTCTCAGGTGCGTTCCCCAGGAGCATCCCTAAAGCAATGGCCGCCTAAGGTAGGCTTGGGGCCTGGGAGGGATAAATACTGCCTCCCTACTCTCCCAGGGTTCTCCTTACTCACCAGCTTCCTGGTTGGGAACCAGACAGGATTTCCTGAAATCTGGGAGTGGATTAAGATGCCATTTGGAAACCAAACCCCAGATAAGATTTCCAATAGATCTATTTGGATCTTCAGTGAACATCCATTTGCATGCAGTTATGTAAATGATAGGCCTTGTGGGGTCACTGAAGCAAATCTGACAATTCTGAGCTGAGAAATGAGGCCTCTCTGTGCATTGTGAAGAAAGGTCAGAGAAGCATAAAGTAGCTTTGATCTCGACTCAAGCTTTCCACTGATGTCAGCGGGAAGGCAGCACATGGCCCCCTCCCTCTGGAACACTAAGGGCCAAAGGTTTGCAAAATGAGTCATCTGGAAATCAACGAAATTGGCCTGGTTCAAATGAAATTTGTAACTGCCTAGATTAAGGAACCTATAGTGAAAGTTATCAGAGACTCAATCACTTCCCTTCGGTGACTGGATCACACATAAAAAGATGGTCTTCCTCTCCTCACCAAGGTCATTCTGCTGCGTTTTGGTTAACAGAGGCTGGAGGTGGGAGGGCTTTAGCATATTTTTGCATGAATGACTTGAATTTTAATGTGTGTCTCTTCTGAATGCATCTATTAAAAATAAAAAGCAGTATTCTTTATTTATTGGGAAATACTGGAGACATTTCATGCCGGGATTATTAGAAGTTATACAAAAAGCATAAAAGATGAACTGATTCAATTTTTTTTAATGTGAAGGCTGAATTTATGTGAGTTACAAAAGTTAAAGGCAAATCAGGGATTGTGGAACACGCCTGTAACCCATCACCCCAGGAGGCTGAGGCAGATGGAACACATATCCAATCCCAGCCAGAGCAACTTAGTGACTTAGTAGACCTCTGTCTAAATAAAAAATAGGACTGAAGATGTAGCTCAAAGACCCTGAATTCAACTCCCACTACTTGAACAAAATAAAACCACAAAGAAAGAAATTCTGCCATGGTGAAACTAGGAAAAAAAAAAAAAAAGCAGCTGTGATGAAATTAAAGAAAAAGATAGGATAATAACCTGATTGGTTAAGAGTCAACTAATCTACATAATAACTACTCAGTACTGAAAGTTCATTCTCATATAATCATGTGTAGCAAAATTTGAAAGACAAGAGTATAAATTTGGAGTGATATGTTGGTGTTTTGTTGGTCACAGTGGCAAAGACTAAAAAGTTCAAGTCTAGAAATGTGACAGAGGAAGTTGGATGATGGTAGTAAAACCTGGTGGAATTAAATTTGCTACCTGGAAATACCATTATTTTAAAATTAGCCTCTGAGACATATTGCCAGTCTAGCTGCAGATATGGTATAGTTGGACAAATAAATGCTCAGAAAGACGGGAGTTGGTTTTTGAAAGGGTTTTGGCCCAGACAGGACACGGTAGCCAGGAAAGCCACAACCCGAAGCAGGAAGCCCCATCTCCCCTGCCCCTAGGAAGTTACCTGTGACGCCATCTTCCCGCCCCTGGAAATTTACATATGGCACCAAACCTAGGACCAATGGGCTACCTGTGCATCTCTAATGCCCGCCTTAGGTTCCACCCCAAACCGAGGCTATTTACAGGGCCCCACGCCACGTGTCCGCCGGAGAGATCGCCAGACGCCAGCGGTGGGGGTGCCGGTCATCTCTCTCCGTGTTCTCAGAATAAAGGCTGCTTTTTATTTTATACTTCTCATCTTTTGGAAATATTTTTCATCTTTTGGAAATAATCCTAGCAGTTTTCATAAAGGGTAATGATGTATTCTAATAGAAATGAACTTGGATGATTAAACTGGATTGTCCACTTGTTTGGAAGCTGCCTAGAGATAAGTAAAGCACGCTTCTGGGTGTGTGTAGTTGGGTCATGCAGGCATGACCCCGGGGACTCTAGGTGGCTACCTCTCTGCACTATTTTTTTTTTTTTTTTGGTACCGAGGTTCGAACTCACGACTGAGCGCTTGCAAAGCAGGTGCTTATGCCACTGAGCTAAATCCCCAGCCCTCTCTGCACTATTTTCCTGCTGTGCTTCTTGACCACCAGAACTAAGCATCCTTTCTTTGCCATGCCTGTCTGCTGTGGTATCTGCTTTGCAGCCAGCCTACCATGGACTGAATTCCCTGAAACCATGAGCCAAGTTAAACCTTTCCTTCTTTAAACTGTGGATGTTGGGTATTGTGTCTCGGCAACAGGAAATCTAACTACTGTACAATCTTGTCCAAATTCCCATCTTACAAGGTTAATATTTAGCCAGTCTACTCATCCTTGGTACCAGAAAGTTGACTGAAATATTTGGGTCACTATAGTTTAGGTATGATTCTCAGTCTCCCTTTCTTCTCTCTTTTAATAAACACTTGGTAACTTTAATCATATGTGGCATATGTTTTTAATCTAGCACACAAGAGACTGAGGCAGGGGCATCATGAATTCCAGACAATCTTTAGCCATATAGCAAGTTCTAGGTCACCATGGACTATGTAGCAGGACATGTTTCAAAGTGTATCCTTCCCCCAAAAAATCACAATAAAAATATTTGGGGATTTGTTTCAAAGATTTAAACGTGTGTGAGTGTGTATGTGTGTGTGTGTGTGTGTGTGTATGCATGCACTGAGGATTGAGTCTCATGCATGCTAAGCACATGCTTTACCATTGAACTATACCCCAGCCCTCTAAATACACTTCTACTTTGCTGAACTATTTATATAGTATCCATTCGTTAAGTGGATTTAGTTCTTGTGAACTAAAAATCATCTTTCTTAAAATAAAAATGAAAGAAGATAAAAAGGGGGAGAGCATCTCTGCTCCTGTGTCTCTGGCCTTGCTGACCCTGGCCGTGGAGCAACGGTGACATTATAGGATCAGCGCAGAAATGGCTACAGAAGGAACTATCATGTTTGCAAAATGACCCACTTCCCAGGAGGACTTGAAATGAAAAGAGTGTTCAAACTCATATTGAGGATTTAGCTCGGCAGTTCAAGCACTTGCCTGGTAAGTGCAAAGTCATGAGTTTGATCCCCAGTACTGAAGAACAAAACAAATAGACAAACAAAAACTCAGTTGCATAGTGGATTGTAGACATAGAAGAAGGTGCACCTGTCACCTTATATAAGGGAGGAAAAATTCAACTTCTATTTATTTTTTCTACTAAAAGACTCAAAATTTTATTTTACTTTTTTTAATTTATGGAAAAAATAAAATTTGATAAAAATATAGTTGGAGAATAACAATAGTTAATACATTGCATATTGGTTGTTATCTGTTTTTTTTTTTTTTTTTTTTTTTTTTTTTTTTTTTGAGGCTTGGTTTCACTATATGGTTCAGGCTGGCCTTGAACTCAGTTTGTAGCCCAGGCTGGCCTCAAACTTACAGCAATCTTCCTGCCTCAGCCTCCTTAGTGCTGGGATTACAGGCTTGTGCCACCACACCCAACCTGTATTGTTGCCTTTAAAGTAGTTAATCAGAGTATAAAATATAAACATAAAATTTCTCCAAATGATACCAACATAAATCTTTCTTTTCATGTGAGAAACTAGCAGTATAATTATCTTGTATTTTTTTCCTTTCCCCTTTCTACTATCCTAGTTCCTTTTTTCTTTTGAGTAATTTTTTCCCACTTCATAGTAATTTATTGTACATTTTGAACCATATATGTACTTTCAATTTCTTAGACCAGGGAGACAACACAATGCTTACACATGGGAGTCTGATTTATTTCACTTATGAGTATGGCCTCAAGTTGTATCCATTTACCTATAAATGTCTCAAGTTTATCCTTCCTTATGGCCATAACTGTAGAATTTTTCATACATGTTAGAATCAATTTTTCTCCCTTACATGATAACACTGTGATTGCATGGGGTCATAATCATCACCATAGTCCAGTATGACTGGGTGCTGAATCAAATAGCAGCTTTTCATCCTTAACAAATTGAGAGGGCCAGGGATATAACTCAGCAGCATAGCACCTGCCTGGCAAGCACAAGGTCCTGAGTTTGATTCCCAGTAACATACACACACACCAAAAAAATAAAAAATAAAAATAAATTGAGAAGGTGAGTTCTTGAGATAGACATAAAGTACCACTTATATCTAGAGGAAGTCCCTGAAGAACAGACACCTCCTAGGGATAAAGCTATCTATCATAAGAAATTGGCAAGTGGAAACACAGAAAAACAAATAAAATTTTAAAAAGTAGTAAATTGAAAATGACAAGACTTAGAAGCACAATGAAACCCCAGTCCCCCAGTCCACCCAGGACAAGCCTGGAGCCTCGTATGAGAGAAGGAACTGGAAGCCAAGCACTGGAACTTTCTGAAACAGTAGCAGCAGAAGTGAAAAAACAAATGGAAAAGGCTATGGAAAAAAATAATCTCTCAGGTACAAAAAGACAAGATGATCAAATAAAAATATTAGGATAGACACAGCTTAAAAAAATAGGAGACGTTAGGAAAGTTATGGAGACAGTGTAAATGACAAAAAATGAACACAACAAAAACCTCTTCATAGAAATAATGGAAGAAAACGTCCAAACATGGATTAAGAATTTGTCATACAAATAAATGAAGCATATAAAACTCCAAACCAAAATAAATCCACATTAAAGCAAATAATAATCAAGATTCCAGAAATTCAGCACAAAAACAGAATATTAAAAATAGCAGAGAAAAGAAACAAATCACCTATAAAGAAAAGCCCATCAGAATCGCAACAGAGGGTCGGGTATTTAGCTCAGCAGCATAAGCACCTGTAGGACAAGTGCAAGGTCACAAGTTCGAGTGCCAGTACCAGATAAAACAAAAACCAACACTGGGCTTGTCCGAATCACAACACACTACTCAACACAACTCTTAAATCAAGGAGAGCTTGGAGTCAGGTATTTCAAG